GGAGGTGGAGGTCCCTCCATCTTTCTCTTTCTCTCCATGATGAGTGTGTAAGCCTTCATCCATCTCTTCTTCTCTCTGATGTGTGTGAGCATCACTCCTCTGCACACATGATGGTAATGCAGAGGTAACACAGCGCGACTCAGGAGCGCCGTGCACGCCGCCATGACAGCCGCGACCTGACGCTGCGCTGTCCGCGAAAGAGCGACGGAAAGCGAGAGGGAAACTGTCCACAGCGCCACCACGTGTCCGGAGCGCTGAGTTTGTGGTGTCTGTCAAGGTGGACTCCATAACTAAAAAATTAATATGCCAAAAGTGATTCTAATTACCCATAGTTGTGTACTATCGTTTTTAAACGTTAACCCAAGGATCCCAGGTGCGTGCTATTTTTTAGGACAACAGGGTAAAGAAGACTGTAAATTCATATATGCACTTTTCTCAATGTCATGTGTATTATTACATGCTTCTTTTTATCTTTAACCTTTTTTTTTTTTTTATAATCATCAATATGGCATTTACTTATTAGTACAATATTAAAAGCATGGATGACCATGGCACTTAATATAAGTTCTAGTGTTGTTATTGTTAATTAAAACTAAAACTACTAAATAAACATTTTCGGTAAATGAAATAAAGCTGAAATAATATATAAATATTAGATGAAAAGCTTAAACAAAAATTAGAAATATTGCCATGGCAACTAACTGGAATAAGCTTAAATTGGAATACTGCAATAATGACAAATAACCTGAAACAAAATTAATTTAATTTATATAGGGAAAAAAAAACACCTAATAAAATAACTAAAATTTAACTTAAAACTTAACTTGAAAATATAATAAAAAAATATGAATACTATAATAGAATAAAAATAAATACTAAAATAACACTAATGAGTACATATTTTGCAGCTTTGTTTGGATTTTTTTTTTGTACTTTTAATCTGTCATTCTTAAGACCGATAATTATACTTTATCTTCAGAAATGAAGAAAACAAGCAAATACAGAAGATCAAAAGCAGACAGGATAGAGTGCAGTTCTCTACTGTTGTCATTTATTCAAATAAAAGCGTTTGCAATACAATGTTTATGACTCTGTGAGAGGAAAACTGAACGTGTATTTCAGTAATATCCTGCAGAAAAGGTTGTAGCAGAAATAACAACATCAGAATATTACAATAATGGGCTGTTGTACATAAATAATGACTAAACTCACACTTAACAAGTATGGTTTCTATGTTTCTAGTAACATAGATGTACACAATGTACCTAAAATCACAACAGTCCCTAAATATTATTATTATTTAATATTATATGCATTTCTTTTGTCTATGATATATCAGTGCGTTCCATTCCATTGGTCTCTGTAAAAGTTGACATAACATTGTACTAATTTTGTATAGTAAACCTATGGAAAAATAAATGATTACAGCCAAAGTTCAAAGACAGGTGAAGTAATATATACATCTGGTTCATGCTTGGCTTACACAAAAAAAAAAACGACAACCCATAAAGTAATGTACAAAAAAAAAAAAAGTACAAAACCAAGAAAAAGAACAATTATATAGAACAAGAACGAATAATAAAAAAAGTATAAATACATATTTATAATAATAAAATAAAACAGACAAACTCAAAACAAAGAAGCTATCCCTGACTTTACTGCTCTTGCTGAGAAGAAAATAAAATGTTTTAGCCATTCAAAAAACATGGCTAAAGTTTGACACATAGAGCAGAGGGGCGGAGTTCTGATTTTGCCCCTCCCACATTGCTGAGTCCATGTAGCTTTAGCGACGGAACCACACCCAGCTGTTGATAAGCCAGAAAGCTACAGTGATGGAATACATGAACATTTCTCGCTTGACTCTCTCTTTGTTCTCCTCCTCCAAGAGCTGCAAACGCCGATTCAGCTTGACAATCTGTAATGTAAGAAATTAATATTTTTATTCAGCAAGGATGCATTAAATTGATCAAAAGTATTAGTAAAGACACTTATAACGTTACCAAAAAAAAATGCTGTTCTTTTTAATTTTCTGTTGAACAAAGAATCCTGGGAAAAAATGTATTAAAGGAATAGTTCACCCAAAAATGAAAATCTGCTTACCCCCAGGGCATCCAAGATGTAGGTGACTTTGTTTCTTCAGTAGAACACAAACG